TTGGAAGATTTCGGAGGAGGGGGAGGTTTTGACTGGTCCCTAAACTTAAGTGTTACTGACGACAATTTCAAAATCTGAATAGGACAGAATGCGTCATAAAAATGTGCTAAATAGAAATGCGTTTAAAATCTTCATCGTTCTGTTTTTTGAATATATGACTTTCCAGTGATATGGATGAGTCTTTCCAAGCGAAATGATCACATCCGAGCTCTTGTTCTTCGGCTCTTTTGTTCCGTGATAGAGTCTCAGGTGTCCCATTCTGTCGCCGCAGTTTCGACGTCATGATTCGTAGCCAACTGTTTCTTATGTATCTGTTGTCTTCACTAGAACTATCTCGGCGGTTTGGCCTGTAACAGCATGCACAACTAGAAACAACTTGTAGAACTGTTCCCATTTTTAGTGGTTAGCAGCTCGGTGAGGTTGTACCGAGAGGTCTTCACAGCTCGCAAGGCCTGAGCTCAAGCCCTACGGTTTAAAGTCGGTTTCATTCTTTACAAAGATGTAAATTATAAAATGGAAATTTGAACTCATAACTTACACCAAAATAAGTGGACATTCACTTGAAAGAACGGGAGGAAAAATGTTAGAATACTCTACCGTGCGGATGAGTAATTATCAGAGTTTCACTCAGCCAACTAAGATTTTTCCTCGACACAAGAAAGAGCTCACCTTTAGCCTGGACTGTTACCCAATATTAAGATTTCTCTGTTCCAAAATGTGAACGTACGTTCTGTCTAAAGAAAAATTTTTTTGGTTCCGTCAGATTATTCTTGGGAGAAGAAGGATCACGTTCAGTAAGCCATGTTCGATATCCGTAAACGCGAAAAAAAACCCTGCTTATCTTCCTGGTTTCAATGTTAATTTAGAAAAGGCACACAAAGTTTCCTTTCGTTCTTTGGCCGGTTTCAAAAAGCTTTTTCTTTCTTTCAATAATTGTTTACCATAAACGTAGTTTAGTTGAGTGGCGTTCAAAAGGTCGAGTCAAGTTAGAAAATTTATCATCAGCCTCCAGTTCGCGTGTTGGACTCTTGTTTCTCTAACCCTTTACACTCCATGAGTGACCAAGAGAGAATTTCTCCTTACAATATCAATACAGTATCAAGCATAGAAGTGATGAGAATAAAGTAAAATATTAATTAAGGAATAATCAGTTGATTCAATACCAAATTCTCCAAACTGACATCGCAAGAATTATATCTTAGACAGTAAAGAGAATTACTAATGAGATCTTGGGAGTTGAGAGGTTAATTTGCTGGCGTTCATATAATGACATGTTTGACAAGGGATCTTACTGATCATGAATATCCCTGTTCAAATTTTTGTTCAGATATAAGTTTGCGACCTAATTAACGAACCTTGGGCAATTTCACAAGCTTGTTTTATGGACTTTTTCTATTTAATCAAAGTGTACTGTTTAATTCCTTTATTCGGGCGGCAGAGTGACTTCGGTTCCCGTCTCACAATATCCCCGACATTACAATTTCTATGCGGTTAGTGACTTACGGCGAATGATTCTGAATGAATAAGCGAAAGAATTATGCACATGTTTAATTTCCGGGTTGAAAAGCACTCGCCAGACAGATTCAACCTGATAGTTTGTGAATAATAATTTGGTTGTCACTTGGGGTACTGTAAAAGAGTAAGGCAAATTATTATAAATTATCGTCGCTTCATTTATCGTTCCATGCGTTGGTCAACTTGAAAATTGGGCAGTCTCGAGTGCCTATTTATTGATTATCATGAGAACAAACTAACAGTATTGGATATGACGAATAAAGTTTCCACAAACATTTCACTTCACGATTGGTGATCTGAAAAATTAAGGATGTGCTGCACTAAATATCATTGAGAAAGTTTCATACTATAAGCCTTGATTCGAAACTTTTACATTCCTTCTAAAGCTCCATAAATTTCTCTTATGCAGTTTCGAAAGTCGAGTCAATAATTGTTTCCATCAACTCGGCAAAATTACAAAAACACGATCAACCATCGTTATTTTTTCCTCTCCCTGTTTTCGTAAGCTATTCTGAAAACAAAAGCCGCTAAAATGTAGAGAATCCACCTAGCATTTGCATGGGTGGGAATAATTTCGATTCCCCAACTTCGACTGTTTGTTTATTTTACTGCGTCGTAGTCTATTCGCTAAGATGAATTTGAATTTTACTCACCTGGTGTTTATGGTCCCTCACTTCTGACAGAACCGCTTTTTCCTGTCAGTGATAACCGTTAAACTATAAAACTTTGTAGGATGCCGAGCTCGACTTTCACATGCTTCGACTGTTACGGCAGTTTCTGCATTTAGAAGAGCTCCAAAGCTGACGTGAACTTATTCATGCATGCTACGGCTTCCGGTCGATGATTTCTGGGAACTTAAAATTTCAATTATCAGCCGCACTCTGTTCAAGACGAACACGACTTCTCATTAAAATACTTTAGATATTCAAACGGAAAAATTTTTTTGACAGGTTCACAGCTAACGATCATCACATCACAAAAACGTGCACTGAGAAAATTTCTCGAAACCCTCTGAATGAAAATAAAAGACAACATATTCTGACATGTCCAGTGATGTTGTTTATCATCTGAGGAAGTTAATCTATCTATAACATTACAATTCAGTACAAAATTTCTCTTGGATGCGAAGCATTTCTGAGGCGGTCCCTGCATTCCAACTTTTATTCTCTTAAATGAAAATCGGTGTTCATTAAGTCCTTAAATAAACAATGACTCCAAGCACTTTTACACACGAGGCCAGTTTAAGTTTGAACCTGTCTGAAGTGTACAATTAGATCACGTCATAGCAGGTTGAAGTTACTTGGAGAGCGCATAAACCAGGCAGGTGGCGAAAAATGAATGCTTACTTTCAAATAAACTCTCCACTTCTTATAACGGAGAAAATATACCAAAGCCTTAGCAAATGTGACTAAACTAAGCGCTGTGTTTCTCGTGCTGCAATTCGATATTTAGCACAACATGAATTATGAATGCACAATTATTTGACGTTAAAAGCAAAGAAAAAAATAACTTTGGTATAAGGAGCATTGCATATGAATGATTTTCAAGGGCGCGTCACTTATGTTTCAATGAACAAGGTTTTTCTCAGTCTTGGACTGAGCCAAGTCAAATCCACAAAACTTCCATTTTGAGTTCCCGCCTGATTCTCCAGCTTTGAACAAGATGGGCAAACTGGAAAGCAACCTCTCCACCACGACTTTTATTTTTTCGTGAAACTGTCTCGACAAGTAGTCCCTTATCTCTCCACTCGTGGCACCAGCGGGGCACAGCTGAAGATACGAAGAAATGATTACAACGAGTACAAGCTCCTTTCCAGAGAGGCGCACTACAGAGGGTCCAAAATACATGGGGCTGTAACTCGCAAGTCTAGATGAGGCCCAAGCTTGGTAATAAGACATGTAACTCTGCTGATAAGCTGTCAGATCAGTTGGGACCTGCTCGTTAACTTCCTTTTCTCGCTCATTCAAAGAGCTATCAACAGTAGCTTCTTTGCAAGCATCTTCGTCCTCAAACTGCTCGTTTACTTGTTCATCGTTTCCACTCAAACAACCTTGTGTATCTATCTCTTTATAATCATCGTCGCTGTCTTCACCCATATCGTCAATCACTTCGAACTGTTCATCATCAATCTGCACAAACCGGCCGGAACCTTCCTCTTCGTTGTCCTCTTCCTGTGTTTCATTCTTCGCCCCTATCGCCTTTTGCCCTCCTACTTTTTTCTCTACATTTACTGAAGCGTTCCCTGGCTCCTCTCCTTCATGTGATGTCTCTCCTCTCACAACCACCCTCCCGCTTTCTCTCAGCAAGTCCTCTTTGTTCACCAATACTTCTCCATCGACGTGCTCCTCTTTCACTACAACTAGCGTCTCTCCCACCCCTAGCCTTTCCCCTTCTTCTTCCGGGTTTTCCTGATTTGAAAAATTTGCTTCTCCAATGCACACAATTTCGCCCTCTTTTACGTTATCCTCCACTTTATCCTCTGTAACATCCAGTTCTTTGACTCCTTTATTTGACAATGTTGCCACCTCTGTCACTGTATCGTCCAATTTATCTCGAATACTTGCTTCTGCAATCTTGTCAATTTTTGATGTTCTATCATCTTCCATCCTTTCCCTTTTTCCTTCTCCGTGTGTATCACAGTAGTTTGTTTCCACTCCATTTATTGCTGCGTGACTACCACTACTCAACTCCACAACAACTTCTAGGTCCTTCAATGGGTCACCAGTAGCTACCTACATAACAAAGCAGAGTACAACACAATTAGTGGAGGTGCGCTTTTTGATTGAGAATTGAAACTAAAGCCAAAATCAAAGTTATCGCAATGGTTAAATTAGAACAAAAAAATATCATAAGGAGGCAACAAGAACATAAAGTAAATACATGGATATTGTCTAAAGCGCGGGAAAATGGAGGTTTCCATGTCGCGGGTCGCGGTCATTTTGAATCTGATTGGTTGAGAGGGTGGCACGACTTTGACCAATCACACAGCAAAGTAAAGTAAAACTAAAGAAATAAAGGGGGCAAGTTTAAAAAGAAACTGTGGTGCTGCGTCGGTGGGAGAGTACAGCAGGTAATTTAGTGTTAACGACTGAGTTGAAAACGTAAATTGGCCACCGTAAAGGGCAAAAAGGCTGAAGTTTCGAGCGTTAGCCCTTCGTCAGAGCGATAGAAATCCAGCGATGGATGTTGTGAACAGCAAGGACAAAAGCTAAAAATTTCTTATCTCGTGAAGATTTTCCCTCAATTGTTATGGAGCTGATTTCAAGGAAAACGGGCGTAGATGTGCAAAAGAGTACAATCAAAGCACTCTTCACAGCCTTTATACCCACCAATTCACCGCTGATTAGATCTCCCTGTTTGATGTTCTGTTTTATGTGCTCCAAAGCTTTTTGTAAGCACAGGATCTGTAAGTTAAAAGGTGAACAGTATGTTAAATGAATAATACGTCCAGCTAAAAACCAATTTCTGTCACATCTCACTCTTGGGGGAAGTCTCTTCAACAATATCCCTTTACATACAAATGAGGAAATTACCGCCTCAATAACACAATCACCACCTTAAATCAAGGGAATTTCTCTCGAGTGTTAGCAGATACAGTAACCCAAACTCCAAGTTGAAATCAGTTTTAATATTTAACAGTCTCACAACTACGAACCTTTTCTGTAGTGGATTAATTGTTTTGGTTTTTTACCGCATTTTAAAAAGTCGTTCATCTTAATATATCTATTTTTACTCTTGACGGTAGCCAATCTACGTTTTCAACTCAGTTGTTAACACTAAATTACATCCTAATATATGGTCCACTCAGTTCGGTTGCTAATTGCAAATAGCTAAATTTGCCTAAATCTCGTGAGACAAAACCTGTCCTTCCAGAACTGTTCAGCATATAATTTATCAAGTACAATTTTAATGCACTGTCAAACAGACAGGTAAAGAGAGCAAGAAAAAAACAACAGCCAGGGGATATAATTATTGTTTGAATATACCACCAGTCAACAAAGAAATGTCTTGGGTCAGTTGGAAGAAATAGCATACGCTTGAGCTGAAGTTCTGTACCTCGTAATCTTTCTCTTTTAACCTTTTATCATACTGTTGTCTGGTCATGTCCACTTGATACTGATAGCTCTGCATGGACCACATTAGGTTGGTGTTCTGCTCGGCAATCGCCTTCAAGCTTTCAACCTGAGTGCGTAGCTTCGCATTTTCTATCTTTAGAGCGTCAATGGAATCTGCGTCTGATTCTACACCTGAAGGAAATCACATGTTCAACTTAACGATTTAGGAAAAATATGACACTCACGCTTGTATGATGTAAATTACATTTTTCTCTCTTAACTTTGGAATGAGGAAATGACACGAAATCTTTAGAAGAGAAATAAATTTTAAGAATGTTTGTAAGTTTTAATATCAAGCAATGCAACCACTTTAGTGGGGCAGCTCAGTAAATTCTTAGTAAACAATTGCCAATTGTATATAAGGTTGATAAAATTTCACATCTGAAGAAAAAAAGCATTGAATCTATAATTTTCAGGGTGCCACAAACTGTGTTTGATCATTCACCCTACAATAATGTAATGGAATATCAACATGTAACAAATTAATTTTCAGAATGATATAATAGGTAAATAATTTGAAAGGCAAAGGCTTAGTCCACAGAAAATGTGGAAACTATCACTTGGAAGGTAAACCCAGACATCTCATTGGCTCAGATTATGATGAAGAGGTCTGTGGCACATTTGCTCTAGCCCTTTAACTCCCAGATCAAATTTTTAATTCTCCTTACTGTCAACCATACAATTCTTATAATGATAGTTTGGAGAATTTAGTACTGGATCAACTAATTATCCCAAATTGATATTTTTCTTTATTCTCATCACTTATCTGGTTGATATTGTATTGATATTGTAAGGAGAAATTCTGTCTTGGTCACTTATAGGAGTTAAAGGGTTGATATAGTGTCAAGAGACACTTACAAACACAGTGAATAGGAAATATATAATGAAACATCTGAACCACAAGAATTCCCCTGCATTCTCACCAAATTTAACAGTTTAACTTGATTTGAATGAGGAATTTGTCATATATAGAGATTAATTAAGAATCTTATCAATCAATTATGCAGACTGAATTGTTAATTATTCATAAAGTTTGAAGGTTTGAATTGACTGGCTGACATGTCAAGAAAAAAGCCTTTGAGAAATTACCATAGACAGGGTAATTAGTAGAGATGTATATCTTGACATGATGTTAAAGAAGAAACCAACAATACATTGTGACTTAACCATTTACCTACCTCTCAAATCCAATCTTGACATATTTCCCTCCTCTTTTTCAGAGTAAAAATGAGATGTAAGATAAGTGCATGTAGATCAAGAAAGCCCTACTTGACCAGAGAAGAAGTTAGAATTTGCAAAGTCAATATCTTGGCAATGGAGCTGTGCGCTATTACCTGAAGCATCACTGCAAAGTTTCTTGGCAGCTGCTGGTGCCAAACTTTCATCCTCTTCTTGCCTCTGTTCTTGAGCCACTTGAAGTGCTGGCTGTTCAATAAGCCCACCAAGGTTTGATGCTTCATCATCCAAATCCATACCTACCTCCTCACGATTTTGTATCTCAGCCTCTTGGGCTGATTTAATTTCCTGAAAATGGCACACAATGAGATCAGTGCAAGTTGCCATGTAGCTACCTTTGGGTTCCAATTCACCATGGTTACCCAATGCCTGACCTGCAAAGTACTTCCTACATACAATTCCATATGTGAGACTTGCACATGGAACTACTAGTTTTGTGGTAGCTGCTACTGGCCTTGTATCAATAAGAGACATCACTAATTTTAATTGTTACTTACATTTCTGATAACAGCAAACCACTGAGAGATAGTTTTTCTTTGTCCCTTTGTAAACTGGTCCCATGCCTTTTGTTTAGTTGCTGCATCAAAGACTTTCCATACAGCATCACCTGAACAAAATACACGTGTTGAAGTTGTTGGGTAAACCATTCACTGTTTCACAACAATTTCAAAACTGCCCTGCCACAACTCACTCATGCCACTTGTATTGCACAGTGAATTTACACAACAGCAAACCTGACCATTCAATTTTTAAAAACCAGACTAACAGCACTTGCTTGACAAGAAACTCCTTACATGACTCTTAAAAATGAGATCTGCATATTTTGTTGAAACTCCGGTAATTGTCAGGTGCCAAAGTCTTTTTCTGAAATACATGTACCCTCACTCTTACAATAAGACCTCAAGATCAACTAAAACTTACATTATGGTTAGCAGTTTGAATCCAGGAGTAACATTTTATCAAGTAGTCTGATCATCCAGGTGAGAGTAGTCCTGAGAATGAGATTGTTGTTCATAGTAGTTAATGAAGTTTCAACAACCATAGCAGTGGTCATCAATAAGGTTGTGACAATGTCCGTCACTTCTACTTACAACACTCCTTCTCCAAACTACTATCACCTCAACACTTAGACTAAAGTATAGAGTAAACTACAACTTACATTGCTGTTTGATTTCATTGGTCCTCTCTGCTGCCTCTCTCTTTTGATTTTCCACTTGTTGCTCATGCTCTTTTCGTTTGTTGATCAGTCGTTTGACAAGACCATTGACAGTGCTAAGCATTGTGTGGAAAACATTGACTGTAGAACGGTTACATTCACCTTTTACTAACCAGTGAGTCATCATCTCCAAAGAATTCACCACAGATTTGTCATGACGTATCAGATCCAATAACTGGAAAGCTTTTGTACGGCTATAAATCAGGTCTGGGTCATCTTCCCCAACATGTTGATAGGGCTTTTGTTGGTGTTCAGTGACAGTGCTGGTGGTTTTAACATCTATCTCATCTCTTGTTACTTTGAAGTAGTTAATGCGAATGCGACTGACCTTTGTTTTGGTGTCATTTCCATCTCCAATAACCAACAAGTAACCATTTAGTTTGACAGCCATATCAACATCACCAAGTTGTGAGAATGTCAGATGGCAATGTCTAACATTGGTATTATTCTTCATAGTTTTAAGACTTAGGTTCTCTATAGGTCCAAACACACCAAAAATCTCTCTAATGATAAACTCGTCAGCCATTCCTGGGAGGCTGCGAATAAATATTGAACGACATCCAGGTTCCTTATCATTTAGTGGTAATACATCCAAGTCATCTTCAGGAGGTACCAGGTAGCAGTTTGGATGTAACACTGCATTCAGAGGAACACTGAATTCATCTCTCCTCCCATATTTCATTTCATTTGGATTCAGTCTAATTGGTCCTCTGCTGTGTTGAAATAGATCATGATCCTCTGTTCGAAGCTTAAAGAGCTCTGGTTGCAAGTTAGGTTTTGAAACATCATAACCTCTTCTACTGACCTCAGCTTTTCCAATACTTGCATCCTGTCTAAGAAAATCCCTCTTTGATAATAAAAAGTCTGGGAGAATTTCATGATCAATCAGCCCCCCTATCCTTCCACGATCCTCACTGAGGTATTCTCTTTTATCAATATTCTGATCATGATAGCGTTTTCTGAAGCTCCTGTTATCATAGTTATCAAACCTTGATTTGTCCCTTTCATTGTAAGTATCAGAGATGTGTCTTCTATCCTCTGCATTTGCATGTACATATTGCTGTTGATTACTGTGCTGTTGCAATTGGGCTTGAACCATTTGTAACCCTTGCAACTGATGAGAAAACTGTTGAGGGTTCCCCAAGAGATTTCCAAGTGCAGGGATCGGATTCAATCCAACATTGGGTGGCCATCCAGCCATGTTTAGTATCCTATAATGCTAGCCGGTAAGAACCTAAGGTAAATATTAATATTGAAGTGATTCCAGTCAAAACTACTCCAATGGCTTAGTTCAGAAAAAGAGTCAATGTAACACATTCCATATTTCCTTGGATTTTAACGAGGCCAAGCAATACAAGCAAAATTTATTTAAAATCCAAGGTGCCATTTCCTCAACAAATTGTATGGGCTCAAGAACTGAGAGATTAGCTTTTCGTAAGTTTTTTTTTTTTTTTAATTCAAAAATAATTTCTGAATCCTGCGGAAAGCAACCAGAAAGTAATAGAAAAAATACGCCTTTAGAGCTTTACCGTATTTCAAAACACAAGGAAAGCACCGCGAACTCTGCTGGTCTATGCAACTGTTCTCCTCTCGTTTGTTTGATTTCTTTTCTCCCGGGCCAGCCAGTCAAAGTATCTTATGGTACACACTAGGGTGGCCGGGGGAAGTGTTTGTGTTACTGAGAACTGGATGGGAGAAGACCTCTCAGATTTAGTTTTAAACGAATCAAACACTTGGAAAATAAAATTTTCCTCAAAATTTCTTTCAAAATTTTGTAAAGCTTTTTAGTTTAGGCGAGTCTGAAAATAGTCTTCACCTGTATTTTTCTCCCCAACTCCTCTCTCCTAGATCACAGATACGAATGGCATGATAATAGAGGCTATTGACTGAGCGTCCAGGCCTTCTATCTTAATAAAAACATAGCGCCTGTTGGAAGTCGTACTTTCCACGTAGTTCATCAGGACACGCTCAGCTGATATTATCACGACATCAATACTACTGCAAAATGGCTGCTCCAACTCGGTCCAGAAGAGGTACGTCATAAGAAAGAAACAACAGGCAAAATTGCAGCGTTGAGGGTTGAAACGATTTTTTTACTCTTTCAAAATTTATTTACGTATCGATTCGATTGAGCGCTGTAAAAACGTCAAAGTCATAATTTCGGTCAAGTGTTGGAAAGATATTGGATGAAATAAACAAGCAGTAATATAGTTTATCAAGTGTTCATATATGTTACGCAAAAAAGTTAATAACACTTCCATATCAGTAATATTGCTGAATTACAACATCATATGTGTTAAAATGCATAAACTCGCTTACAACAGAGCGAAGGGCCCGGGGGTAGTTTTCGAAGCGCTTTTTAATCCCAGCTTAGCTGTTGTGACTAAGTTTAAGGGTCGAACGATATTTACCAAGCATTTTAAGAAGTTTTTCGGGTTTTTAGAAATGCAGCCCTGCTATTGATGATGATATGGTTGTGTGTCATATGTAGATTGAAGTATGTTTGGTTTAGTAGAGAGCAGTCATGTCTACATACTTTTAGCTATTAGGTGGGTAGCCAGCTGTTATTTTTTGTCACTAATGAATTGTTTCTTTACATTATTGCCAGTTGTTGAATTAAAATGTGCAGTGCAGTGTTATGCCTGGGGTAAGATTGGTTTAAACAGCACAGTTGCACAGCTTGCTCTGAATAGTCCATCATTTCATCTTGAAGAGGATAAACCATATTCTGAGGTATCCTGTGGTAAATTTCTGTATTGATATCTGTTAATCAATTGAGATATACATCAGATGACCTTTAAAAACCTCCTCAAAAAAGTTTAGAGTGTATTATTGTTGAAATTAATTTTTACCTGCTTACATAAATTAGAGGGAAATGTCTTTTAACTTTGTATGAGCCAAATTAGCTCAATACATGTATGTTACTTTGGCTTTTTCAAACATATTTGATTTTTTCTTTCCTTGTTACACACTCAAATAACAAAGACATTTTTTCAACATTGCACAGAGGAAAATCTAATAGAATGTAATGGACTGTAATGAAATTACTAGTGCTAAACACAAATGAAACTACAAGTTTCTTTACCTTCTTTAATTTTTTTTCTAATTCTGAATAATTTTCTTTTATAGTTTTGGATGGGAACACATCCAAATGGACCATCAAAAGTGTTAAAGGAAGGAAAGGAATCACTGTTATCTGATTGGATAGAGTCAAACAAAGATGTCTTAGGAAACAAAGTTAAGGAGATATTTGGTGGCAAATTACCCTTCTTGTTCAAAGTACTATCAGTTAACAAGGCTTTATCAATTCAAGCTCACCCAAACAAACCTCATGCAGAATTGCTTCATGACAAAAGGCCAGATGTATATAAGGATCCTAATCACAAACCAGAGATGGCCATCGGTAAGGAGCTCTATAAGTATTTTTCAGTAAGTGGTTTGAACCTAGGAGGTTGGAATAGTTTGTTAATATGTGCTCTGATCATCTGCACAAAATCAGTCTTGAAAAGAATGGTACTTTTCTACTGCAGTGATCAACATTTTGACAATCTACAGGAAGCCATCATCAGAGTTGGGTGACTTTTAGTCAGCTTGTGAAACTGTCAAGTCACTGTCATTGACAACAGTTTTTTTGAGGACTACTCACCCCTAGGATCAGACTACTTGATCATTAATTACTGTTAATGGTTATCGTAGACTGATGTAGAGTTTGGCACTAAAAGAAGTCAGATTCTAGAGTGACTAGTCCATATTTTATCTTGTATACCAAATGAGTGTATTTTTAATTTAACAATATCCTTAAATTATAAGTCATCTTATTATCATCTAACCCAGTATTCCCTCAAATTTGTTACTAACAGCACTGACACCATTTGAAGGCCTGTGTGGTTTTCGTCCTCTGGATGAGATCCAGAAGTTTGTAAAGATCATACCTGAACTTGCTGCTGTCATTGGACAGGAAGCTACCACTGCTTTAGTCACTGACTCAGGTTTGTGTGACTTGCAGCATGATGTATGTTCCTTACAGCTATGAGTATATAAAACATGGTTCTTAAAGGTCACAAAAAACCAGAAAGGTTGTGGAAATTGATTGTGGGTCATATAGCAACTAATTTATTGTGGAAACTCAAACAAGAATATGACTACTATGGTGTGATTTCCTCATCTTTTTTTCTGCAGACCCTCATGCACTAAAGAAAGCTTTCACCGCCCTCATGACAAGTAGCCAAGATGCTGTAAGTGAGCAGCTAGGTAAACTATTGTTAAGACTTCAGGAGAAGAAAACCTCAGGCCATGACATCTCCAACCAGTGCAGTGAGCTACTATTCAGATTGAACAGCCAGTTTCCTGGAGATGTTGGTTGTTTTTGCATTTATTTCCTTAATCACATTGTTCTTCAACCTGGGCAAGCAATGTTCCTTGGTCCTAACCTGCCTCATGCATATCTAGCTGGTGGTAACTAATCTACTTTTTTTTCCTTTAATAAAGACATTTTTTAAAGAAGTAGTTTTGTTTTGACTCTATTTATTACCAAGCTTAAATTTTACCATCTTCCTCTGTCACAATGTCTGGTTATGATTAGGGTCTCAACAGATCATTACATGTACATGTAGTCTTGTCTTCTGATAAATAATTTATTTATTATTATTGGTCAAGATTCTTAAATTATAATTGTTTGTTTGTTTACTTATTTGTTTGACACTGCTCCTGAATGGAAACACTTTTTTTATTTTGTTCTTTTGTTCAGAATTTATTTTGTCTTCGATCAATTTGCTTGCATTTATTTCTTGAATCACTAACTTCCTCACTGAATGGTGGCTTGTTCATTAATTCAACTCTTTCACCCCTTCTTCCCTGTCTGTGCCTCTCTATTTCCAAAACAACTCGCAATCCAAAATTTATCATTTATAACCGCACATGTACATCAGTAATTATCACAACAATACATTTTTATGTTAATTTTTTTTCTTAATTGATAATCAATGTGTTTGACTTTTCAGACTGTATGGAGTGTATGGCATGCAGTGATAATGTTGTACGAGCTGGACTGACACCAAAGTTTAAGGATGTTGAGACACTCTGTGAGATGTTAGAGTACAATTGTGGTTCTAAGGAAGAGAACATTTTCCCATGTCGTCAAGATCCAAGTGATTCGCATGTCACAATCTATGATCCTCCTGTCTCAGACTTTACTGTTTCAAGAATTAAGGTACATTTACCACTGTCAATAGCATAATTTTGTAAATGAGTGAAAAAAATGTCATCAGAACTTCCACATTACCACTGGCCAGGTTAAGTTAACCTTAAGTAGCTATTGACCAGATGGTTTTTTTTTCCAAACCATTTGTCCACAGAATTTGTGAAGTACCAGTAATTTATTCCTTTGCTAAACTCTTATTGTGTAATGGTGTTATTTTTAGATACCAGCAAGTTGTCCTTCATACAAGTTCAAAGCTCTAAGTGGACCTAGTATTTGTGTGGTGATATCTGGTTCTGGTGCTGTAGAAGATACTGCTTCAAAGATTTGCTTGAATCGAGGAACTGTACTTTTTATTCCTGCAAACACCACCTTTGATGTAACATGTAAAGAAGAAGACATGGAAATATACCGTGCTTATTGCGTGTTGTAATATCAAAAATCTAACATTCAGTCCAGTTGAATTGATTTTCAATTTTGTCAGGTTATAGAATTCCAAGGGACAGAATATTTCACAAAGACCATTAGGGAGTTTTGGCATATTCATTAGGTATTGAGCATCATCATTTTTCTTTCTTTTCTTTTTAATTATTTAAAAAACATCATGAAAATGTATGCTAGTGGGTTTAAAGAAAATTTAGACCACTCAAGGAAGCGGGAAAATATAAAATTTTTGTTTATTTTTCTATTGAGATTTAACCTTAATAGTAAACAGTCTTGTGTAAACTGAGACAAAAACAAGCTCTGAATAGAACAAAAAATTATTAATGAGTAAAAAAAATGCATTTATGACTTTGAAACAGGTAATATTGAAGAAATGTAAAATGGTTTCCATGTTTACATAGCCTGATATAAACACGCGGGAGGTTGGGAGAACATGAGATAAGCGTAGGAAACCATGACGCAAAGCAGAGTGGTTTCCAGCTTATCAAGTGTTCTCCCAACCTCCCAAGTGTTTACATCAGGCTAAGTAAACACGGAAACCATTTTACATTTCTTTTATAAAATAACTAATGAAAGAGGAACAAAAACCATGTTTACATACGCTCATGTAAAATGGTTTTATGGCCAATCATAGCGCGCTTACTATTTGAATTATTTTATAATGGTAGTTTCTGAAATAAGTCAGAGTTAATCATTATTACAGCTTCTATAACTCATTTTATTTGAATTGAGTGTAGAGAGTATCTTGATTTTCTGAAAGGACTTAATAACTGTATGGACGGGGTGGATTGGAATTTTGCCAATAATTCATTTTAGAAATAATTTTGTAGATGAATGGTTAAGTATTTTCTATGGAAACAATTGAGTGTTGTGTTGTGATGTCCTTTCTTTCAAGTGAAAAGTAATAAATTTAAGGCTTGTATTTTGAATAAAATATAATGCTAGAGAAGTTTTTGACATTTTTGTGACCCAGAAAGTTAAAAAAAGGTGTGTTTTATTTCCTGCAAATTGTTCAGTTTTGTAAAAAAAAACCAGAAAAAAGTCCCAAATTGGTCATGTAGCATAGTAGGCCTATACTAATGCAAGGGGAACAACCTGGCCAAAAAAAGTTGTGGTTATTGGTTTGTAAAGAATATTTTTAAACAGCAAAAACAAGAACAATAACGTTAATTTTGTGTCATTTTCCCTGTTTGTGATTTCTCTGTAAGCCAAACCTGAGAATGACCAAAATGCTTCCTCTCTCTGTGTGTCCACCCACCCCTCCCCGACAAGCCTCGAGCGCCTAGCCAATCAAACGCGTGAACGTGTGTTGGAAAATTTCTTCAGTTTACCTCTTACAAATGAACCAAAATTAAGGAATATTGTTCTTTCGTGCCTGGAATGAATTAGGAAGCTAAAATGACTGCTGGAAAAAGGCACAAGCAGATGAAAATATTAAATTTGAACGACGGGCCTGAATGTCGATTCCGTTGCATCCCTCGAAAGAAAGAAGCCGTGTTTACCCATCTGTTAGGTCACATGTTCAACAAGAGCCAATCAAAATTCGATATGGCGAAGACTTACGTCACATTCTGCGCGCTTACCTCTCGTCTTCCTTTACGTTTAAGCTTTGTTGTGGTCCAGTTGTGATCGGCCTTGAGTTACTTTAACGCGATCAAGAAGTCCTCTGAAGATGCCAGCCAAGCAGCGAATGCGTGTTGCTAACGAAAAACACAGCCAGAATGTTAATACGAGAGGAAATGTACCCAAATCTCTGGTGAGTGGAACCGTTTTGTCGCGTGAAAAAAATTTTCATCAGCTACTAAAGACGATCGGGAATATGAAACGTTTGATTTCGCCAGGTTGTAAACTTAAATATTTTCATATCTTTAGAAACCACAAGAAGAGAAATATCCCGTCGGTCCTGTTCTTCTTGGACTATTCATTTTCGTCGTATGTGGATCAGGTAAGACTAAATACGAAATGTGGTTTTAATTTACGCGTCTGTGATCAGCTTTGATTCTTCATTGCGTGTCGTTCGCTTTAGATTCACAGCCTCAAAAGCCATTGCCGTTGTCTCTCTACATGACTGCATTTTTGTTTCTTCCCCAGCAATTTTCCAGATCATCCAGAGCATTAGAATGGCCTAGCGCCGATAACATGAAAATTTTGACCGGAGAGGGACTACACAATTTACTCTTGCTTATTACGTGTTTGTGAGAGATTGAAACAATAACTTGAGAAATGTAGTGAACGTGCTAAATCTATCTGTTTTCTAAACCTCTTTTAAATTCCGTGGTGTGAGTTGTCCTTATTGCACAGATTCAGTCTATTTTGTAAACAAGTGTTGGCTTTTTAACTTTATTTTCTGTCCTCTAAGTTCTGGTTGGATCGATATAATATCATATAAGATTTCGTAGTATTTTCTTACAGTGTCGCGGAAGAATTCACAGTAAATACATAGCGATCATGAAATTAGCTTGTAAATCTATTGAGGACTACTCGAGCTCTCTTTAAAATCTAATGTTCACAAAGATACTTTATGTGAATAAATATGATTATTTAATTAGAGAAATGCGTCTTGATGTATTCAAGTGTAAAATGATTCGAGGAGGAAGTAGCTTAAATTGAATCAAAGCTGTGTGTGATGACGATTTCAAATACCCACAGTCACGAAATCAGAGGAATTCCCCGGGTTTAACGTTTTACACCCTACCATCAGTATGCATATTCTTCAAGTATACTGTTCTCCATACATTTCCAAAGAGGGTGTCCAGGAGAATTTGTTTGACAATCAAGAGCTGCTTTAGTTGGCGATCATCTCCTCTATTCTCATCACTTTCATGTTAGATTCAGGGGTGAAATTGTAAGGTGAAATTAGATGCTAGTCCCTCTTAGGGGCTAACAGGTTAATAAGATATTCTGTTGGGTACCAATTGCTTGATGCCTTGACTAAGCCCAAATTAGAGAAGATTGGAACACAGACATTGAAAAGCTCAATTCAAAAAGCTTTGTGTTAATGGTTCCAAGATGTTAAGATCAGATTCCAGTTTCCATTTTATCCCATGCTTTATATGGCAATGGTGACAATCCCATCAGGCTGTTTTAGGGGGTATGCCAGCTTTTTCTAAAGTAGGTGGTTTTTGTGGGGTTACTATCTTAATTTGGTGTGTCAAGCAAGGGTCATCAATCTTTTCTTTATCTCCTGGTTTGATATTAATTAAACATTGTTAAAGAACAGGAATGATTGGATAATGCAATTCAAGAGTTTTCATTGGCATTGCCAACCCTTGAGTCATGAGCCATTATACCACAATGACAAGTTAAACTGGAAGTGTTTTTGTACATTGTCACATTCTGTTTGCACTTAGAAAATGAAGTTGGTAAAGCTTATTTGTATTATAGGCATTTTTAATAGAATAATTATTTGACTATGGGATGACTATATGGCCAATGAGGCCTACGCTGGCTATCTATCATCTCATATCCTGGATACCTCTAGGGGTCTTAGAGGGAAAAATAGCCAGTGTGAGAGTTTCCTGACTGATAAAGAAATGATTACAGATTAAGAGGATTCCTCACAAGGAAATGACTGTTAGTTTAAAATCAGGGGTTGAACACCTGCACTATGAAATGTCCAGTTGATAAAAGTTTAAACAGGAGGACATTCCCAGTGTCTACATGACATAGGGCTCAGGCCATCAAAATTCAGCTGAAGAGCTCTGTGATCTGCAATGCTTAATGGCCTCTCTATTGCCAATTTCTTGAACTTTGCAAAAAGAACTGCAACATTACAGCTGTCACTGATAGGGGTATTGCTGACCAAGCAGGAAACAAATTTAAATCCATGTTGTGGAACAGATAGAACATGTTGAGGGGTGAAGTTGAGGGGTGAAGTTTAGGGGTGAAGTTGAATGGTGGTCATTTCTGGGGTTTAAAGTCTGATGCTGCACTTACATAGTATAACAGAGAAATGTTACAATTTGAAATGTCAATGTCGTGATTGTCTTTATTGTTCCTAGTACCGATAGCATCAAAGACTCCTGAAGGATATGAGAATGCTTTGACTGGAGGAAAATTTTCTCAACAGACATTTAGGAAAACATGTGAGAATCAAAAAGGCTAAGCTTACCTGCGAAGTTAATTCAACAGCTTTACCATTTTCCAATTAAAATAAATACAAATTTGTTACTAACTTAAGGTAGCTGTAACCTCTTATTCTGTGTAAATCAGCTTGTCTCAAAATAATGCAACTTTTTCTGAGGACAATACTTTCAATTTCTTTTTTACAGAGAAAAATAAATCTATGTTTATAAGCTTATCACAACCATTGTGGGACTCTCTGTTCCATTGCTAATCCAGTGAGGTCATGGCCATGGATGTCACAATGTTCATTGATAGTAATAGCAGCTTTTGATAACTTGAACTAATTATACATATCCAGGATAAATTTCAATACATCTTCACTAATTACTGTTGTGTTGAAAAGCTCTGGGAGATAATATCAGTTTTTTTGATAGTGCACTTTCTTAAACCCAAAAAACTTGTGGAGAATCTTGCCACAAAATTCAACTCTAACTGTAACACTCACAAAACCATGAACACCCAAAATATTTCTGTAATACTTTTTGTGGGAAGTCCATTATATTGGAGATCAGGACTTACAAGAATTCCACAAAAGCACTACTTGCCAGCGATTAAATTTTCTCGTGTCTGATTGACCTACTTTCTACCACACAATCACAATCAAAAATATTTTCCGTGTTCACCATCTTCTGAGTATCAAAGAAGCTAAATGTTTGTAACTTGCATTCTCTCCAGAAAAGCAGTGATCTTTGAAACTTCTTGCTATTCAAAGCATACCCAGAATTATTGCCAATTTCAGTTTTGTTTCTTTGCGGGAAGCTTTTTACTTATGGTATATTTCTTCCTCCATGGTCCACTTTCATTAATATCACACTCCACAAAGTGTTCATGGACAGGAAAACTTTTTGCAAAAGTCTAATGACCAACAATTCTCAATGCTGCACAAGATGCCCAGCTCTCAAATCTGTTATTCCTCATAATTATTATTATTTCAAATAATTATTACCAAATGTCTCAGTTAGTAACACACAAGCTTTTATTAAACTAAGGCAATAGTAAATCAACGGGCAACTCTTTCTTCTTTATTTTGCTTGTTGGCTTGAAAGATAGTTTTCCTCAAGGAGAGCCTTTTCAAGGGTTACTCACTCTTCAGAGGTAATCAGACTTGACCCCAAGAAGCCAAAACCTTTGCAAATTTAGTAAACACTGTGTGGAAAATTACTAGCACTTGGCTTTTGATGATCAAAGCTCTAGCATTCTGTATCAAGTCTTCAGTTGGACCATTCTGACATGCTGACATGATATAGGACAATTCAGTACTGGAAGGATCTTGCATTAGCTTAAACCCAACTTGGAAAAAGCAAACCGCTAAAACATCTTGGTACAATCCAGGAGTGAGCTAGAACATGACGCTGTGAAATGCTTACTTGGCCTCTTTAACTGTCAAGTCTGGTGTTGTCCAAAGTGCACGACTCATTGATTTAGGTGGAGTCTGTTGTTGTTATCATTATGTTGATGTTTTCCTGTTTACTACCAAGTTCCGTAATTTTTCATTTTCTTGCTTAAGTTCTTGATTCTCCTCAGTAAGTTTAGATATTGTTTCTTTTAATGTCTGCACTTCTTTATTCACAACACTTAAGAGGTCTGACTTGATCTGAGTAATTTGTTCCTGCCAAGTAAAACAAAGGTAATTATTACTCTCATAAAAGGCATTGTCATCTTAAAAAAAAAGAAAAATCCTTCTAAGACACACTGAAGAGTGAAAGAATAACCAGGGGTTCCTTCATAGATTGAACAGCCCACATATCACCAGGCCAGAGTTGAAGACATTTATTTCACCAAAGTGTACTCTTCACAACATAATCAAACTATCACAAAATACTTGATAATAATAATAATAGGACAGTGAAGGCCTCGTATTTGTAACTGGACAGCACAACAGGACAGTTGACATGTCATGCCTATGTAAGTGGACAGTAAGCATCATACCCTCATGCTGTTGTCCTTCATTTTGCGGAGTTAACAATTGGTTTTTTTTTTTTTTTTTAAATGAAAATGTGTTATTGATATCTAGTTTCTTTTCCAAATTTTTTCATAGTTTTGATTAACTGGTAACAGAACTTTGTGTCATTCAATTCTGTCTGTAGTCATAATTGTTATTAACTAAACCAAACTCCTACTTACTGGTCCTTCACTTTTGTTAATCACTTGTATGATCACAGACCGAATTGGACTCCACACAGTCCTATCACAATTATTGACAGTCCACACTGGTCAACAAAAACCCTTTATTGGACTGACACATTATTTGAGCAAATAGGAGATGGCAAAACACAGTCAATTTAACTGTTTTCAGATGGCTCTGAAGTGTACAAACAGAAAAGGAGTATTTAATAGATTTAAGGGGCCTACACAACCAGGATGTGTATTGACAAAGACACATTAAGTTATTAGAAAAAGATCTTTCTCTAAGCCACACACATGCAAACAAATTCATCATCATTTTGCCATGTTACAATGACAATGTTGAAAAGATGAAAGGAAATACATTGCCTCATAAGATATAGCCTCCTGAATTACCCCATAATATTAACAAGGACCAAACCACTCCTTAAGAACCTGTCTGTCCACAAAACTACCTCTAAACTCAGTGCCTATAAGAAAAACAACTCCTTCAGTGAGAACTGTGGCAAAATGATGAAAGATCCAAGGTTGCCTAAAGTAAGACCTCTATCTAATCTCCAAAATTTTAAGGAAAATTTGTTATGTACATACCATTGCTGAGGCAATTTTATTAACAATAGGTAACTCCGCCTCTCCCACACTGAAAGATAAAAATTCACAACAACATGAGAAACATTCTTATACAGGATACATTAAAAAAACTATCAGTTAATCAATAATTAATGTTGCAAAATAAATTAACCTTAAGTATTGGCCCAACAACCATTGGATTTTAGTTACACAAATCCACCTCTTACAATATTTGACTTCAATACACTTGAAAAACATTTCTCACATAGGAAGTAATAATAAAACTATGCACAGGTGTTTCTGAACCAAATGTGTGTTCCAAGGAGGGTTACTTTTATACAAGAGACAAATCCACATAATGTTCACTGAACTAAGACTGACATTGATTTCTTTCATCAACATATTTGTAAGTTAGATTACTCAAGTCCAATACATCTTACCAACATACTTTCATAGCCTTTGGTTCTTAACATTTTTGTACAAGCAACAAGCATCACTTCATCACCCTTGGCTAAGCTCTACAAGAATGACTGGATATTAACAAGGCTGGCTTGAGTTACAGATGATGCTCTCAACCAAAAAATTCTAAGATGTTGATAACTCTTTAAAGCCAAATTCTTTAAAATCCTTTCCAAATCACGTTTCCTTGACTACACTTATTTAGCCCAAATACATCACATTAGAGACAGAGAAGAATAAACTTGCATCACTATCAAATAAAGACAGTAAATATGTAATGGTCTACTTTTTGGAGCATACATTCACACTTTAAAAGATGGACACTATTTCTTGTTACAATATCATTTTATCCTTTTGTGTCGTAATAAATAATTGATGAAAGAAATCAGCTTAGCAGCAGTGAAGGAGATGCAAGCAGAAATGTGACAATTTCAGAGTCAGGAAATAAACAACCCAGATTTTCATTTTGTTTACATACTAATATCTTTCAGTATCTTGTAATTAACTTTAAAAAAATCATTAATGAAAATCCTGGGAGAAATTATAAATGTACACTGAAGTTTGAATTTCTTTTCCCAATACTCATATTACACATTAATGAAACAGACATGCTTAATATTTGTAATACCATTGTCTATGTTCACTCATTGAAACAAAAAAAAGGTAATCTAATGCCTTTTTCAGTCGCCATGAATATTTTTGCCAAATATTGCTCTTTGATGCTGAACAAATTTCCTTCACCTACACTGGGTCTGCAAAATATAGTTTCTTGCTATTGGCTACGTCTTGTCTCCTTGTAATAACTGTTTTCATATCCAACCAGGAGAGAAACTTATATTTGTTAAAGATCTGCATTACCTTTGTTACATTCACAGCATGAAAAATATGCAAAAACTCTTCAACAAGGCTCATTAAAAGCATAACTGACAAAGAAAAAAATTCAAACAAAGCTCTGAAATGATAGCAAGGTTGGCAATTTATGTGGCAGGAAAGACTTTCTCCTTTCTAGGAAAAATTGATTTTCAACTTCAATACTTCTTTTAATTATTTTCGTATTTGGTTTTTATTCATTTAATTTTGGAAATAGGCTTTTCTGGCCTGCTTTAACACAGGAATGTTAAATTAAACATTTCTAATGAAGTAAGTAAGTCTAAGAAAGTAGCAAAATTAACCACTAAGAGATCAGGATGTGACTTAAAATATTACAATCCTCCTAAGATGTATTGAGCAGCAAGGCTCTAAAAAATTGTATCTTTTCATTTTACCTCCATGAAATCATCAAAAATCCACCTTAGATCTTTAGTGAAAGACATAATAGATGGATTGCAGCATATAATGGGCAAGAAAAAAATGCCTGCTGAAATAATAAGAACTCAAATTGTAATTTCAGTGAAAAAAAAAAAAAAAAAAGATAGAAATTAAAACTTCAAACCACAGTAAACCGAGACGATACAGGACACAAAAAAAGGATACACCCCATATCTTCACATTGAATAAAGCAATTTCTCAAATCCAAACATTTGTGGCATTTTAAGGCTCTTACTTTCTTCTGTTTTGAAATTGCAAAGCACAGACATTTCCTAATAGAATGGCAACCGGCGTTTCCTTCTTGTACCACTAAGATAGGGTCGAATAATTGCGAGCGATTTCCTCTCACGTATGTCATGTTTGCCAAATCTTTTACGCTGAAATTCTTGGTGATCATGAAAAAATAGTTGAGATAGTTCGACGTTGTAGGAATGAATTGTTTCACTTTCCGGTAAATGATATTTGGTACAAATTTTCATCGACATCGTCATTCAAACAAGAATGTACTAAAAATTCGTTGATGAAAATAAAATAAGCAACGTTCAAGCTCAAAGCAAAACTAAGCTGTTTGTTGTGCTAATTCAAAAATATAGCTTGGTTCAATTCACGTGAAAATTATACAAAATGTAAACAACAAAGGCAAACTGTAAATCAAATCGCATTTTACAGCACTTCCAGGGTCGATGTAGGTCAATTCATTCTAAAATACCCGATCACAGCAGTAAAAAAGTTTATATCTGGATTATCAACGAACCGCAACAATGATCCAAAAGATACAATGCGTATGGTTGGCGCTGATCGAGGTATAATGTTCAAACAAAGAATCTATGAACGAGTAAACCGCGAGTAAATTACCAAGCTGTCTGGGGAAAAGAACATCAATAAATCATTGAGTCAGAGAGAGTGAGTAACTTTTAACACTGCCATTTAGGACTCTTTTGAAGTGAAAAGACGTAGAGATCGTATCCATTCAAAAAAAGGCCCCCCTAAAGATGTCTGTGAGCAATTATTAAAGCCGCTTTCTTGTGAGAGATCGCTAAGGACATCAAATCGATTTCACAACCACGTTGTACCTCACAGGTAGCTCACTGTTCAAAATTATCTTACCTTGCGGCGACGGCAGCGATCGGCTGCGCTCCTTCAAGCGATGGCGATGCTCTGTCTGAAGTATCCAACGCTGTAGATGAAACTCTGGCTATTGAAATATCACTATGTTTTGCAAATTCGCTAGGCGCCCCTATCCTCGGTTCCGAATCCTTCTTTTTGACTGCCACAACCGCTTCACCCGAACTGGAATTCTGTTCATTTACTTGCGTTGTAAATTTCACCACAGAGCCATGAGTTTGAGAATCTAACGAATGAGAGTCCGTTTCACTCGTAGGGTGATTTCCAACAGAATTGCTTACATTGCTAATCTTTGTGCTCGAAAAAGAGTCTGCTTTGTCCGCGCTGTCTTTCGACACATGGGTAGAAATATTAGTAGAGCCCGTTGCAGAAACACTACCTGAAGAATTCTGAGCAGATTCCGCATCAGGATAATCGTGACATTTCCATCTACCGCGTACAAAGGATTCATTTCTTTGAATTTTAACTACTTTGAACCTAGATCCACCGTTGCCATTTGCAGTTCCTGGATCTACAAAAGGATCAAGTTCTACTTCGACTTCATCCACTATATCGCTTTCGTTCAGTTCGCCATCGTATCCATTGCTATCGCCACGGTTGGGGATTTTGCTTTCGGTGACACTGGTAATTTGAAAAGAACTCTTTTTCTTGTGAGCGGGATTTGGTCCCGTATTAATTCCCACTGATGAAGGCCGAGTTTGAACTCTAGTTTGAGAGTTTGTAGACGAGATGGCAACCTCTACTTCAGAAGAGCGAACCGCCTCCTTGCCATGCGGAGCGCCCTGTCCGCGTTGATGTTCGCTCATATCATTGTCGACTCCCTCGGCCATGAATCAGCTAGAGACGTTCCAAAGAAAACATGATATAGGCCAACAATGTGAAAATCTCCATGCAAAAAATTACGGAGAAAAAGCTCACATTTTAGCCGAAAACAACCTACAAAGTCAAGTCAAAAAATGGCGACCCTCCATCTTAACGCTTCACGAGCGACCTCAGACATGACGTCCTATTCTGTGACCGAGGCAGCCAATCACAGAGCTTGTTGCCATATTTGGTCCAGGCTCACCTAGAAGATGCAAGGAGCGCGGTTTGCCGGTTTCATCGATATCCAAATCCGTCGCATTATTTACAAAATCTTCCAAAAATAGTTTTCTTGATTCCGGAATAAATTACTTATCTTCACATTATTTATTCACTCGTCCATCAAATTTTATCAGTGAGGTAATCTTACGTCCACAATTGAAAACGAAAATTTATCGACTTTCTCAGTAGTTCAGCAACCCTAAAGATTCGTAAATGCAGTAGCAGTTATCTTCAAGAACAACACTCGCATATAATCATCATCCATTCATCGTCAGTCACGAGATGTTTTATCCAGAAAAATGTCACCAATGGTGATATATTCATGAAAATACAAATACATCTTTGGTCAACAAACAAAACAAATTATCATGTCAACGACATTCGCGGCGAGGCTATAAGTTAAGCCGCCTATTTCTTCAAATTATTTTATGCATGCCTCAAATTGGCCTGAAAGTAAAAAATGTTGAGCTAGAAATCGGCCAATTTTCCAAATGTGCTGTTAAATAGTCTTCCTTTAATCGATACTTAAGCTTTTTTAAATTTATGTAGGCATTTTCGAATAGGAGAGTATAAGAAGCGAAAAGATTTGCAGTCAATACTAATGGAAAGGAAAAATAAATAAATGTATCGAGAAAAAACTAAAGAGATATTGGCATCAATTATTCTTCGCTGTGGTGATTAATTGGATAATCTGAAACGCAACTGAAAGAATCCTCTCATCGAATCATTAATTTTAAATTCATTCTTGAGGCATTAGTCCAATTGAAGAATATTTGGCTTCGAAACGTCGACAGGAAATGCCAATAGAATGTTACGAAAGAGAAAAGCTTGTAAATACCGGTTTTTCCGTCGAAAAGCAAAACTGAAGGCTAGACAATGTTTAAAAGGTACAAAAACAAACATCAGTACAAGTTTGCCGAAATTTTAACCATTTGACTTTAATAAGTTATCACGGAATTGGCACATTTTGCCTCTGTTTCGGCTCAATACTGTATTGCCTGGAGCGAAGGTGAGGCGTACATCTATCATCTTGAGAACATCTCTTAATGCTATGTTTTGGCCTTAGTACTTTGCGACTCAAATTACCCCCCACCAAGCCCTCTCTGCAGTTCTCTCGCATTACAAAAAAAAAAAAAAAGAAAAAAAAGTTAAAAGGAGGAAGGAACACTTTGGACAAATTGATTCGCAACACATAACTTTGTATGTTCGAGAGTCTCAAACTAAAATACTTACAACACGAAAACTGATCGCAAAAAACAATGTAGCTCCAAAATATATTTAAAAAGTCCGCACTTCTCCTATTCCAAATTATGCCAATTCTGATTCTAAATGTCCTCAGATGAAGCTGCCTCAGTTTCTTAGATGTGCTTTACTTTCAAAATGCCTGGCTTTCGAACCTATCCGTTGCTAACCCTCTTCTACTAAGTTGATCATTGTTTGATTTTTCTTTTTTTTCTATGATCTATCTACAGCGATGACAACTACTCTAATGAGAAATTCTCCTTTTTGAAGCAGAGGCAAGACGTCGATTTAAGTTCAGAGAAAATATACTTGAACATTAGGGCAAGCATGTAAGCAATCATGATTGGAGAAGCACGTTTATGAAGTAATCAGCATTTTCAAACAATACAAGCTCTTCTTATTTTCAGGGGTGTTCTGTAATATGCCGTTCTTTCAGCCATTGCCTCTCTCTTGGAAAACGCAAAAGTGAGAAGCTATATTGTAAAACCTGAAAACTTGCTCTCGTTTTTTGATTGACTTTTGGTTAATACTATGTACTAACTTAAACTGTTATGACCTGGAGGTTAAATATTTTCAAAGTTCGCGATTTTGCGACACGCCTTTCCCTAAGCAAATTAATATCTAAAACTTTCGCACTTTTCCAAGTTATTGAACTGGATATTACGCAATTAGACTCCGTATCATATGATATATGCCTTTTTCCAAAATGGTAACAATACATATTCTTTATTCATATCATATTTTTGATTGCCCTCACGTTGCCCTTATCGCATCTTTTGATTTAAAAAGAATTTTAGCAGCGTTACGACGGAAAAAAGCAATTACTTTTTGTCATACATTTAGAATAAAAATTCCAAACAGGAGCTCATCAGTAAAAGGCTCCTGTTCAAAATTGTTACTACCATTTTAGCACCAGCGAGACTTCATAAGTTGACCTTTGGCGGGTCAGCTGAAAAGTTACTAATAAACCTTTCCGCATGGATAAAACATTCGTATGGCAGGCTTTTGAAGCACTGCCTAAAATAAGAGTTGATTCAACTTAGACATTGAGCTAATATTAAACGGAAATTCACCATTTTCAAAATTTGATCGTCAAGTATTAACCATTATCACCGATGACAGATCGCATTTGATGCCGGTAAAATATGTAGGGACAATATAACAGGCTATTTTGAGCATTTTTCGGTCAATCGACCCTCTTATGCTTGATGTTTATCACTAAAATGTGATTGATGAGTTGGTTTAGTCGGTTTGACGGCGGAATCTATTGCACGTGGCCTGGAGGCAAATAATCTTATCCAAATAATTTTGGCCCTAAGATATTTTTTTTAGCAAGGTTGCTGGTTTATTCAAATCAAAGTTCATGAGAACATTTCAATGTGGCAAACAAAAAAATTCTAAATTATGAATTGCAATTTCCATTCCAAAAAATAGGTTTACAGGTTTAAATATATATCAGTAAACGTCCCTGCGGAAAGTTTCATATCGCACACACCACTACACCCGCTATAATCTTCGGCAATAATTTAACTTTTAGTTTCTGAACACAGAGAATTTAAAGATGTAGAGCCCAGCAATTGTTCATTCTCTTTTCGAGAACATTCAAGGCAATTAAGCACTTATTCGGAAAGTACTGTGGACGCGACGGCAAACCACAAGCATGTTAACGACTTATGCGATGGGTTCCTGTTAATTTAGGGAGAAATGTTCCATCACCAAAGTAATCGTTAGATTTGCTTTCGCTCAGCTCGAGTTCAAGTATAACCGAACACTGAAATAATTCACCGAATATGATTGGTCCATGTCATGGAGATAAATTATTGATCTATTAAAGAGAGTACACACAGCAAGATAGCGTGAGGAAAATGAACAGACGACCTCTAACCGAGTCATTACCGGTTCACCGCAAAAAGGGTCGCACCTCACGGGTTTTTGCGCCAGCAGTTCTTAAATGGTCTTCAGTGTCAGCAATTAGTTCTTGACATTTATGGCTTATGAGACAAATGGCTGCTGTAAACTCTGATGAAGGCCCGCTGAAGCTCCGCAGCACACAGCGCTCGTAGTTCAGACAAAAAGGTGAGCTCAAATAGACTGGTGTTGTGAACTATCAAGATCGTAACCCCCCGAGGAGTATATTTTTGTCATTCGGGTATGAAGCTTAGCTGAAGACTAGTATCGTAAATCATATTCTCAAGATAGTCAAAAGCTGCAAGGAACACAATTTTATGCTGAGTCTGTTGGGATGTTAAACTGAATTCATCTCTATCGCTCTTTTACTTTGCAGGCAATTTAAGGCGGCTAAACGTAAAGCAGTGGTTTCAATAGAAGCCTGTTACTAACGGTCTACCGCTGCCTATAAGACTTCTCACAGCTATCTGTTGAGCCTGCGACAAGCTCTTGTGTTTCTGTTTCGTCCTTAGCCTCTTCCAGCCGCCTATCACACTATATGCAGCAGCTTATGGAAAACCCTCCTAAAAGGAGTTTGTCCTACAATAAATTCGCCCCTTCCCTGCCTCATCATCGTTTGTAGGTTGTTTAGTTGAAAAATTCGTATCATCAAATCAATATTTCTCTTCACCATTTGCATCTTTGATTGCAGGTTCATCTCACAATCTTGTTTTTTTCGAAAGTATATACATTAAAAATTCGATTGGTTCATTGTAACGCCTGATTGCTTATTGATCGCATTGAAAAATTACGACAACAAGGGATTATAATCCCTTGACTGAACTCGTTTACCATCAGTCAACACCATTTATTTAGTATTTTCATAAATAGTTTCTACACATGTTTTTTCCCCCGAAGGTTTACAGAATCATTGAGTTCAAAGTATGCTGCCTTCGTTAAGTTAGAAATAAGTCGTTTCCATGGCTCTACGAAAAATCAGCCAAAAAAATTCCCCGGGGTAATGACTATCCCCATTCTCCCATGTTTGAAAATTTGAAAGTCTAGGAAATCCGGTAAAACCATTCTTGTAAACAATTAAAGACATTTTCTATCTGACTGTATCAAAAAACTGATTCCAAATAACGCCCTTTTTAAAACTTTTTTTCAAATAAATTACGCTGAAGATATAATGGGATTATGCAAATAAAACTAACAATCGGAGCAGAATTTAATATTTCTCATCTTGTGGACTATCGATCAATTTTATAGGCTGGTCATATATTCATGCATCAGCTATTTCGATAATCAAAAATAATAAATTTCAGTATATTATTCAACGTTTATATTTATATAGGATCTGTTAGTTTTGATTTTATAAATACTTATTGGAATCTTCGAAAATATGGAAGCTGTAGCCTAGTTTGCAAACGCGGGCAAGTCGCATTACAAACGCACTTTGAACGAGGTTTCTCTCTTCCCTTCCTGTCGGGCTCAAGCTTAAGAAGTTTCGTATAAACACTACCATGACATTAGACTGTTCTGGCAGCTCGTTTACTTGTCCGCTCTGAGCCGGAACTCATCCATAGTTTTCTGCTTCCAAATTTCCACAAGGAAATTCTCCACAACAAAGGAGCAAGAAGGAGGCTAATTGTTGTGACACTGAGGATGATCAGATAAACCTGAAAAAAAAGGATGAGGGTTCATAAAACTTGTTATCTCAGTCGCAATATCGCACGGAAAGAATTACATCTCCTCAGAAATTATCCAAAGAGGAAAATAAACTAACCTCTCTAGAAATGAGATGAAACCTCCTTGCTCGGCTTCCCAAAACGAACGAGAATTCACTGACTTGAGCGAGTCCCGCAGCAACGATGTATTTTGTGCTTCGTGACTCACATAAAAACATCCGAAGAACAAATACAGAAACAACGAACTGGAATAAAAACAAGAGTCAAATTAGAGAGCTTTCCTAGTGAGTGTCGTAAAGCCACCATCAAACCAATAACCACCGCCAATCAAAATAAAGGTCGACATGGCAAGAAACCATTGAGAACTCAAAGGAAAAGAATATAAAATATACTATAATATAATATTTCCGGGCCATCAATCAAGCTATCGGTCACTCGAAGACTGTTCAGATGGCAGACTCACCTGTCTGGAAAAAAGAATTAGCATTGTTTTCCGAGCAGAATCGCATGGAACCGTTGTGTTTCAAATTCTAATTCTTCAGTTCTGGAACTCCAATTGTATTGCACGTAGTGCATGTGGCTGCCGGTAATGCCGTCGGGTACGGCATTACGTGAGAGGGCT